GTGGGGCCCCATTGTTCAAGTTCCGAATCAGGACTTAAAAGAACAACTCAAATAGTAGGTATATTGAATCAGCTAAAAGAGTCATTCTCACCCATGTAAATTAAAGGACAAGCTCTCACAGGCAGGAGTTCATAACTCACTCAGGATTAAGATCGAGTCCCATATGATCATCATGTGAAATATTAATCTTCTCAATTAACGGATTTATAAAGAGAGATTAAATATTTCTTGGTCCAGTCTTATACAAACTCATTGTACAGAATACCCCCACTTATATGTCTCCACACGAATGATTTGGATCAAATAATTTATAACGATTACAAAGTGGGTCGTATCAATAGTGTTACCGGGATAAGACACCCAACCTTATCCATATACTATAGACTCTTTTGACACGATCCTCTTGTATGTCAACCACATACGGTTCAAGATTACATTAATAACCTTGAATTTTCATACGATGGATAACAATTAAATCACAAATAAAATAATGAAAATTATTGTTAAAAAACTAAATAATTAATTACGAGGCTTTAGGGCATAAATCCCAACAATATCAGCTTTTCGACATTTCGGTATCTGCTGGCAGCTTTCCAAGAGGTCTATTTCTTAGCTCAATTGCTAATTTGTCCAATTGCTAATTAGCAATTGTCCATTTGAAGTTCCATATTTCATAAGCATGCTTGATGATTCTGTGTCAAAACATAGTTCTCAACAATATATTCCTTTATTAGGCTCTCAAGTGATGTCCCTGGTGTATGGCACTGACTGACTCGATGTTGATTCGACTATGGGGTGTAACTTGATAGTGTAAAAAGACACAAATTTTTTGCAAAATAAAACAAATATAATATAAAGCATAATATACATTATATTTATAGTTCATCAAATTTAAGTTCATGCATTAGTAATTAGAACAAAACATAATAGTTAAAACACAAAATAAGGAACATACACAAAATATTTAAAACAAAAAAGGTTGAGGACGACAGTTGATACTTCTTTATGGCATTTGCTTCAAAGTTAGCTCACAACCTTGACCAACTTCTTATTTACTTGAAAAACATAGAGTGAGTACAAAGACTCAATAAGTAGCCTACTTGTAGGCTCTTGATCGTGCCCTTGATATGCTAGAGTACCACACTCTTTCTTTTCTTATTCTAGTTATTGTTGTAGGTACTTAGGCCCTTTGGTTCTGTTCTTGAATTGTGAGTTCTTAACATGTACTATGGTTCTGGGTTATTGTCTTTAGAACTTAGATCTTGATCTATGTTCTAGTCTTTGAACGTTGTCTTGTTCTTGGTAACTTTGTAGGTTCATGTTTTATTCTTGATTCATTTTTCAAGACATTCCCCCAATATTTACTGTACGAGTCATGAACTTGACAACCTGTGGAATATGATGAGCTTGGTTTGTTCCTTTCCCTTGAGTATTGGTTTGTTAAGGACTCCGTGGTCATGGTATCCGGCTGCACCCCCAACTGGGGTTCGTGATGATCTTTCTAGTACAGAATAATCTTCAATCTGCATCTTCTAGAAACCGAAATCGAATCCATCGAACTTCTCAATTCCAATCTTTAAACTTTTCATCTTCACATATCGTGGTGAATCTCACCTCGCTCTAATACCAGTTGTTAGGATTGCACAACAACGATTCAAAGAGGAATATTGGCTAAAGGTTTTATTGATGACTACAATAATACACCAAGATATTGTAACGACCCTAAATTTCCACATATCTAGAGTCGCCACTAACGTCTCATGCTCATCTCTAATGCAGAATAAAAACCTAAGCATGCTCATCTTTACTAGCGGAAAAATTAAAAACTTCAGAATACGTTAAAACATTGAAAAACACTGCCGGACTTACGTGTTTCAAACATCATGCTGGAGTTCAAAAGACAAAATAAAACGATTCAAATTAATTAATATAAATGAATGAAATGCAAACGCCCTATCCTAACCAAGACTAGGAATTTTAAATATGCAACTATCCTATGCACGCGCCACAGTCTCTGATCACGATGCCACCGTCAACCGTACATGGGAGCCTTGCCTTTACCTGAAAAACAATATGGCACACGGCCTGAGTATTTCGAAGAAATACTCAGTAAGTGACCCCACTAAAGGGGCCATGCTAATGCAAACACATGCAATCATGAATAGGGACCTATCTCTACTCATCTTAGGGGTGGCCTCCAGTCTCGGACAAATTGGATGTGTAGTACTTCCCTACACACGACTCACACGTGCGAGTGTGAGTCCCCAGGGCGCTCGCACACCCCCTGGACCCTCTGGTCAAGCTAATCTGTAGCGACGTCCGGAGGTCAGCGGAACCCCATAGTGTCATGCGCCTCATGAACACCCTCATCTGTGTGCTTTCGCACCTGTGCACATTCGCGCTCATCATAAGGTGCGCGTCCGCACTCATCATCTCTAGGGGAAGTAGCCCTATGCTTATGAACATACAAAATGCATGAGGTCCCTCTAAATCCATCGTAATGTCTCTTCTGACACAACCCTCTAGTCTCATCTCTTTGTTACTCTAGGTAACGCGTATCGTGGGTATTTATATTAATATCATTTTCATGCTCTTAGGGTTGTGTCCTACGTCGATCTAACGACATGATGCAATATGGCACTCATCATCATCTAGCATGCTCAATATGGAAAACATCATCATATTAAGGTAAAAATCATGCAATCATCATGCTCATCATAATACCACAACGTGCGTCAAACATATTAAGCGTCACTCAACAAAATATGTATAACCTGGCGCATATCATCAAGCATCATAATCCACACATCATCATAACTCATACAATTATTTAGCCTATCCTATAGTAAGGCCACTTACCTGGTTGGCCTTGGCCGAAGTACTCCCTAAATCGCTAAACGTAAGCTCCCGTTCCGTGAGAGCCGCTCCCTACGTCCTCGGGGTTTGTTTCCTATCACACCGTCCACCACTTTCCGTTAGTATTTCACAATTAATTTACCTAATTTAATAAATGTGAAATACGGCTCTAAAACGGCCTCGGATACCTTAATCGGGGCCGAAAACAGATCCGGGAGGGTCGAAACAGTGGAAACCGGGCTGAAAACAGGTGAGCCGAGCCGAACAGCCGCTGGAGCCGCCGGAGGAGCCGCCGGAGCGTCACCGGAGGGAGCCCGAGCCGTTTGCGCCGAGCCGAGCCGAGGACTGCCGCGCCGCTGTGTGACACGTGGCAGCAGCAGAGAAAGCCACGTCGGGCGGTAGTGTCGGGTCGAAGCGCGGGTTGCAGTCCGGTTCGGGTCGTGGTTCGGGTCGCGGGCTGTGGAAGGCTACTGGGCCAAGGCTAAACGTTGGGCCTCGGCTTACTGGGCTGGGCCGCAAGTGTTTGGTTTGCAGGCCGGCTCAATTGGACCGTGGGTCTAGTCTGGGTTGGTTCAACTGAACCGTAGCTTCTGGGCCGGTTTGAGGTTTGGGCCGCTGTAGTTGGGCTGGGCCGAAGGCAGAGGCCAAGGGGGGAAACGGGCTGGCTCTCCCGGGTTCTGGGTTCAGGTTGACCCGGATCCGTGGATCTCGTCTTCCTTACCCGACTTTGGCCGATTTTCCGGCGAGTTTTCTCTCTCCTTCCCGCGGCGTTTTCGTTGCCGATTTCGGTCCTCTTCCTTCTCTTTTCCTCTTTGTTCGTCGTCCTTCTTTCCTTTTTTGGGAGTTTTGCGGCCTAAAAGCTCCTAAAAGCCATAGATCTAAGAATCGATTAAGAAACCTAACTTTCCGACCTCGGTTACCGACGACGACGCTTACGAAATAACACCAAATGCCCCTGAGTTATTGTGCTATCGTTAGAGATCTCTCTTAAGGTAGTAACAGGTTGTTTGGTGTCGGTTTAAGGATGATTTGAGGGCTCGTCGGAGAAACTGAACACTCGCCGACGTTTGTCCGAAATCTCTTTCTCTCGCTCGAAATTTTTCTCTCTTTTCTCCCTTTGCAGGCGTTCTGAAGATGCT